TCTGTCTGTCTGCCTCTCTCTCTCTGTCTGCCTCTCTCTCTCTGTCTGTCTGTCTGTCTGTCTCTCTCTCTCTCTCTCTCTCTCTCTCTCTCTCTCTAAGATGTCTGGGCTTGCCTGTACCCGTGGGCGTAAATTACACAGGGGAATGGGGGGCTGTAACCCCCTCAATAATCAAAACCAGCCAATACACCCCTTTAGACCCCCTTAAATGGGGGAGACCTCAACCCCCCAGTACTCAACCCAAAGTTATGCCCTTGCCTGTAAGCCCCATTTCCTGAAAATGATGGCTTTCTTTACAGGTCTGCATACAATGTAAATAGGATAAATGAGCATGAAAAATTCAAGTGTTTTTAAATTATTGGCTAAATTGACGATGTTGATAAGAACCTCGCTCCTAATTTTCTAGCCTTTAATATATTTTTGTGGATAATCCCAGGTGTCTGTCTTTTCATTTTCCTTTGTTCACTGGCACAATCAGTAGTTTACATAAGTAGTACGCATACCTCCCAACACGTGTTAAAGACACTCCTGCTTAGACCCAGGAATATAGAACTTATTGTGCTGTAAAACGCTACAGCTTTCTGTTCTGGTGCGTAAGTGCGGTGTGCCAGACTGGGCCCTGCCAGGACTGCAATAATAGGCTCATTGTTGGACCAATGGGTTTCCTGTTCTACCGCAGCTTGTCTGCACTTGCAAACCCAGACCGCATGGCCAGGCTGCTGGGTAAAAAGTCCTCAGAGCGGCATTTATCTATAACAGAGGCGCTGTACGTGGCAGAGGCCATGGTTAGTGGACTCAGAGACAGCAGACTGCGACCTGCCACCTTCGGTCACACTGCCAGCCGTTAAACTGAAATGTCTCGTCGCGAACTAGTAGTTGTCTAATAACAGTAACTATGTTCGGACGCTAGGGGGACACGTTGCATCTTTTTGGAATTAATCGCCTTTGGCGTCGTTTGTTTAAAAAAATCAGTTTCATTACTTCAGTTGTATACCCTGTTCATTCGGCGATCCTTTGATATTTTTATATACTGGTATTGCTGCCTTGTAATTAACTTTCGCTGTTTTGAATGACAGTTGTTTTTACTTGAGGAGTTTTTAAGTGTCATCAAGGTGAATTTAGTTGGATTGGCGTACAATGCCAAGCTGTATTTTAATTTCCATTTATTGCGTGGTTTCCTATTAGGTTAGACTGGTTTGTCACTGGTGTTGACAGGTACTTGGCAGTCACCCTTAGCGAATACAAAAATCTCTCCCTTCCCTTTCCTAAACAACTGTTTCCTTTGCGAAATCCTGTCCGTACATGTCACTCACAATGCAATCAGAATTTTCTTAGATAAATAAGGTATTAAATACACCCTGAAATGAGTATCCACTGTTAATGACGTTGATACAACTCTGGATCGCACATGTGTTCCCCAGAGAAATTGGGGGGGGGATATATGCCAATAGTTACCGCAATGTGTGTTTTTGTCAGCAGATGGCAGCATATTAACTCACCATTAAACGTTTCTGTTTTTTTTTTTCTTTCTTTTTTTATCTTCTCGCACACCTCAAACCTTTGTGTCTGGTGTAGGGGTGTGTGACACTCTTTGTGACAGCCCAGCACCCCCACATGTGACGGTGTGTCCCAGGATGTCGGGGCCTCCGCGTTCCAAGTTGGAACCTGTCTGCCTATTGTGGTTCTGTTTATTTGTGTGGGGAGGAATGTGTGAGGATTTAGGGGCACGGGGAGGGGGGTGGGGACATTGCCACCACAGCACAGATTTTGTGTTTGAGTTACCTTGACAGCCTTGTCACCTGCGAATGGAAAGTCCGGCCTGGTTTCGTGGCACTCCATTTTCTGGAGAACCAGCACAGCCGCCAAAGGCTGCTACTGAAAGCCTGGAGATGTCTCTCCACATCATGCCGTCACCAGCGAAGACTAGTGCTGCTGTTTCTCTTGCCCTGCCTTCTCCGCCACATCTCCAGTCGGTCTCCAGGCACCGATTGGACCTGAGGATGGCGTTCTGCCATCGTGGCTTAGAGGAGGTTGTTATGGGTAAAGGCGTGTGGGTTTCTCCATTTTCTGAGTTTACTTCACCTCCGATACCTCAAGCCAACTTGACAGAAGGACTTAGGCCTCAATCAAAGGGAATGATTTCAGGTTTTAAGCCAAGGTTGAACATTTATCACGGCTCCCGTGAGTCTATGGTTGGGATAGAAGCAGAGCAGGCACCCAGCAAGAGCAGTGCTTCTGTCGTTAAGGCGTCTCTCCATGATTGTCTCAGCTCGACCCTGGAAACGAGCTTTCCCGCAGCAGTCGGTCAGCTGATCCCGAAGCGATCCTGTTTGCCAGCCAGGCTCACTTGTGCTGTAAGTTGCTTGTAGATTTGGGCCTGACATTATGGATTGCTAGTGCAGGTCCTGGGCTGCATACACACGCATTTACGTGTTTGTAACAGTTTTATTACCTTGTAAATAGTCTGTCGGGTATTGCAAACTATCCACCCATCCATCCATCTATCCAAATGTGTTTGTATTTATATATTTGTGGGGACTCTTCATTCATTTCTATGGGGAAAAGCCCTAATCCCAACAATGACGACCCTAACCCCTACCCAGCGCTAACCTTAACCATAAGTAACCAAATGAAATAAATGACTCTTAGCATTTTTAATTTTTTAATTGTAGCCACACATTTATTTTTTTTTATAAAATTGAGTTTCCCCTTGTGGGGACTGAAAAATTGGTCCCCACATCATCAGAATAATAAGTTTTTATCACATTGTGGGGACACACACACAGACACTCACACTCTATGGACAATTTAAAGACCCCAATGAGCCTAACTACATGTTCTGCAGGAGGAAGCCAGGGGACCTAGAGGAAACCAGTCTGATACTGGGAACATGCAGAATATCCACATTCACATGGATGAATAGATGTCTTCATATAGTGGACCATGTGATATTTTTTTTTCCCCATGAATTTTAAGGTATGATATGTTACAGAGTTTATTTCCCTGGAAGTAAATAATTTGCCCTTTTAAGAAATGAATAGGATGGGACTTACATATAGTGCATATAAAAATTACAGAAAATTATATTACATGATTTTAAAGTGACCAGTTGTATAATCAAACCTGAAAGATCCTTCCTTGTACCTCACCTCCATACCCCCTAGCGCCGCCATTTTGTTTTCCACTAAGAGCGTTTCTTTACCTCATGCATCAGTCAGTTTTACCAGTAGACTAGCCCCTCGAGAAGCACTGTTCACACCTGGAGAGCTTCAAAGGTTACCTGTGCTAAAACAATCGAAAAAATATTAATCACTACTCATCTCTGATTCCCTCCTTTATCGTGACAGAGCAGTAATCATTGGAGATTCTTTTTTTCATTCCCTCGTGGTTTTAATTTTTTTTTTCACGCTCCTGCATCTTTGTGTTGTGTCAAGGAGTGGCTGAATGTCAAACACATGCTCGAATGGCCAAAGTCTCAAAACTCTTTTTTTTAAACAGCCATTCACAATGCATCTCACTTGCTTTGTTGTAAGATTTTGCTCTCCACATTCCAGTTTTTCTCCTAGAACATCTTTGGAATGGGACCTATCAAGATTAGCAGGTGTAGCGAGGACAAGTGTACCATCTTACCGAAAGTTGAGTCATGAATCGAAACTAAATGGCAGGTTCCGTCCCAGCCAGGGAAGTGGGCATCACCCCATCAAGAACCTCTGGAGGCAACCCTGGAAGTGTGCTGCTGAACAGCATCCTCATCTTTGACCCCAAACCTGAGTGATTTGCTGTGGGTGATGGGGGGTGGCAGAGGAGCAGCCATTTGCGTGATGAGAGCAGAGTTTGCAGTCAGTCACCAAAGCAGGTCTTTAGACCTTTAATTGCACCTGTCTGTCAAGGTGACGTATAGACCGCACCCACAATAGGTGAGTTAATGCAGATTGGGTGCCCCGGAGGCCTGGGGGGTTGGGAAGCTGTGTGACCAGGTTCAGGTGTGGGACCAGGTCATTCTGGTGTCAAGACTGTCACCGTTCTTGTCTTCCTCAAAGCCTGGGTTTTAACTGTTCAGGTCATACAGGGTGGTTTTCCTTGGACTTCAGTGGTAGTTTCTGTGGTCTAGGGCCAGCCCAAGCCTTCATTCTCTGGGTTTCAGACAAGGAAGTTCCCCGGATCTCTCTCTTGTCTCTTCGTGTCCGTGAGAAGTCTGAGCGGTGGCCTTTGTGCTGGGCACAAACCGAGGACACAGCATGTTTGGCATAATTAAAGATGACGGATAGCTGGAAGACGGCAGGTTAAAAAAAAAAAAAACAGTCCGTTAACGGGGAAGGTGATTAATTTAATCTGTAGGTGATTAAATAAGAAGCGTGGAGGTTCCACGGGTCTCTTTAGGTCAAGGTGGTAGTTGGGACGCCCCTCCCTCACACCTGCCGAATTCGTGATGCTCACGATTGACCTGTCCTCTGTGCTATGGAAAACGACAAAGAGACAAAGACCAGGGAATAGATGAGGTTGGACTTCTTATCAAAATTTGAAGTGAACTCCACCTGCTCTGCTGCACACATCTCATATCTCTCTCTCTCGCTTTCTCTCTCTTACACATACACTATCTCCTGAACCTTAGTCTGACAGCCTCTGCAACCCTGAAAGAGTCCAAAGTCTCAGTTCTACCAACATGAAATCTACCAGACATCAATTTGTTTTGTTTCTGCCCCCATAAATCCGGGAGCCCATTCCACCCTCCCTGCCCTGTGACAATGAAGAGGTCCATCCCCGAGATGAGCAAGACTGAGCTACTGGGCCGGCTTGAGCCACACGCCACTCACGGTCTTCCAGCACCGCTTCCGCGCGGCTAGTGCCTGAGGTGTGTGGAGACTTGTTGTAAAAGATGACAGGCTAAGTGGGGCATGTGGCAGAGGATCACGGCCTGTAAAACAAGCTCTTCCCCAGTTGAGTCCTGCCAGAAGTGAAGAACAATGAGCGAGGGCAGAAAAGAAAGCGGTCTCAGGTCTCTTAGCCCAACTTGAAAGAGACATGAGTCGTCTTTGAAGTTGAAGGCCCTCTACTTGCAGAGAGGGAAGACTGAGTCCCACCTCCCATCCTGTCCTGTGAGTTTGGACAGGTATGCAGGGACTCTTCAAGCAGGAGGTCAGGTTTGCTCCCGGGGGGAACAAAAGGCATGGGATCACCCCGGGACAGGGATTAGAATTTGTCTGACAGCTGCCGGCTAGCGTAGAATCGCTGTGATGTTGCAGAGTTGCTCCAGGTTACCGGTGGCCCAAAGCTAAAACACCAGGCCTCTTCATGAACCGAAGTGTTCAGAAAGACAAACCTGTCACTGAAGTTAGACAGGGTGTGAGTGTGTGTGGGAAAGCTTTTTGAAGTGGGAGCACTGCTATGAAGTTGCTGAATAAACAGACAGGTTCGGAAAACGACAGTTTGGAATGACTTCTGCTTTGAATTACCGCGTCTCCGGTTTCCTTTTTGAAGCAACAAAAAATGAATTCTTCGCAATCCTCAAGTTAAAGCCGAACGCTTTACTCCACCTGAGATCGGAGTGCTTTTGCGTGCACTCGTCTGTTGGTGCGTGTTTATTTTAGCCTAGTGGAAATCTCTGCTCAAGGCTGAGGTGTTGGTCACAGGAGATCTGACGTGGCTTTGATGTTCGGGCCTGGCTGGGTGTCCCGGCCGCTGGAATGCGAAGTGGCTCGGGGTCTCACCCACCTTTGCTCATCCCGGGAATCTCGATGCACACCCTATACTCCATGACGAATGCTTCTTTGCATGCAAACACAATTGGCCACGGATGGCCAGGTTGCTCCATTTTCTGCAAGTAGATGACCTGTCACTACTGATCAAACGAGAACTCAGGGGTATTCTGTATTTTTTTTTTTGTAATTACTCTTTGTTCATTTTTTCTGCTGTGAGTGTCGTAGTGTGTGCCTTCTGTCCTCCATGGCTGGCACCTTCCGAGTGGCTAGCTAGCTCACGCTAAAGTCCCACCATCTTCTGCTGGTGCTGGTGGCAGGTTGTGTTCTCGCATGCCGCGGCCAAGGTGGGTTCCAGCTTTTAGATAGTCATGCTTGCACTTTCTGGGTACTGGAAAGCGCCCCTCATGGCCCAGACTTGCACTGGCTGGGCTACGCAGGCAGCATGGGGCAGAAGTATCTAAGGGGATGTGGACGACCACGTAACTCTTAGGCATGAAACATAAAACAACAGGCAGTGAATGGACCCGAATTATGGTCCCCAAAGGCTTTCGGACTATGATCTATGTGCTTGAGCTAAATCACTTCACTTTGAGTGTTGCTTTTTTTTTTAAGATTGTTGCTCCTTGATAAGGATTGGGCTGCCCAGGGCAGAGGCTTAGTGGAAGTTTAACCCGGCTTTCTCCCGCTCAGTTGTCAGTTGTCGCTGAACACAACCCCCTAGAGGAGCAGGACAGTGATCTTCATGTTTTACATCCCATAAGAGCTTGTAAAGTTTTGCCTTTATGGTACAGCCAAATAAGCCAGGCGTCTTTCAGCGGGAACCTCTGTTTGACCGGTAAATTAAATTCGAAAATATGTTTTGCGGGAGAGATTTTCGAGAGATGATTTTATAAAGCTAATGTTGTGAAACTTTTTGAAACGTAAGATATAAGTATTTGTGTTTGAGTGTCGTGACAAGATCGCACTTTCATCTGCTCCGAGACGTTAGGGGTGTTGGTCTTGGTGTGACGTCTGTTGGCACAGATATGAAGCTGGTTGCGCTTAGGGCTGGTGGGCTGACAAAGGAGATGCCAGCAGTCTCTGCCTGCACACAATGTACCCCCAGCAAGACAGAAGACTCAAGTCAAGTCACTCACATTTAGCTTGAAGCGATAATCAATCAGTATACTGCATTTTTTTTCTTTTCCTCTGGTAAATTGCAAACGTTGCCTTTTCCTACTGTCAGGTATTGATGGTGTTTTTTCCTATGATAGACACATATACCCGGGGAGCTGAATAATCCCGTCCATGTACACCCACACAAACCTGTTATTTTGACCTTATGGGGACTTTTTTTTGGTCCCCACAAGGAGACTCCCAATTTTTATAAAAATCTGTGAATGCAATCACAAAACTAATCCCAAAAGTATTTTCTTTGGTTACTTGTGGTTAAGGTGAGGGCTGCATAGGGGTTAGGGTTGTCATGTTGGGATTAGGGTTTTTCCCATAGAAATGAAAGTAAGGTCCCCACAAAGATATGAATACAAGTGTATGCATGTGTATGTATACAGTGGATATAAAAAGTGTACACACCCCTGTTAAAATGGCAGGTTTTTTAGATGTAAAAAAAAAAAAAGGACCACGGATTGAAAACAAACAAGGGAAAAATCTAAAAATTAAAAAACATACAATAAGCTGGTTGCATAAGTGTGCACACCCTTAAACCAATACTTTGTTGAAGCGCCTTCTGATTTAATTAAAACATTTAGTCTTTTTGGGTACACACCTGCCATCAATTGAAGTGTGTGTATGTGTGTGTGTGTGTGTGTGTATGTGTGTGTGTGTATTCCACAAAAACATACCCCTTCTCATTTAGTCTTCTCTTTGTCTTTTGGGTCCGTTTAACTTCAGGGATCGATGGCGTTCTGCTTGGCGGAGTTACATCTGTGGTCCACCCGGAGTGGCCTGAACGTCTCGGGTAATTTGCCCGCCTGCACCCTCCCCACACCTCTAGGCTAGAGGTCACCTGGGTCTGCAGGAAGCCATTCATACTCATCATCCAGTTCCGATTCAGTCAGTAAGCACATGTATTGTGGTCAGCAGGAGCTCTCATCAATTTCATTTCGCCTAATAATAATACTCCTCCTGATATTCAGACTGGAAGCTATTTTTCCCTCACATTTTTATTAAATAAGAGATGGGGGGGGGGGGGGTCACCTAATGCCGGAACCATGAACCTGCTTGTCTCCCTTTGTCTTTTCTCTACAGACACTGATATTGGAACATACCAGTACTACGATAAGGGAGAACCAGGTAAATATTCTTGCCTCGTGTTTCTGTGTTTACATGCGTGTCGCACTGCTAGGCAGTGACAGGTATTCTGTGCAGGCACAGAGCAGACAGATTAGTTTCAGGACCAATTATGGACTCTAAGCTTCAGTAGAAACTGTGACCCAGGATGCACAGTATTAACAAACTCGCACAATACATTCCAGGTTAGAAGCACTATGTGCTGGACTAAAGCTGCAATTCACCTTTCATCCACTAGAGGGTATTCTAGGTTTGCAGTGATCGTGGTTGGGGCTCCCTTGTCCCTCAGCAGGTGCCCTGGCCCTCAGCGTATCATAATGCTCCTTCATAATGCTCCTTTATCTGATTAATGCCATTAATCCTGGAAGTGTCCTGAAGTGGCAGAGCACTGCAGCCAGGGCTGCTTCCTGTCTGGGGGGTTGGGGGCTGGGGGGCAGGTAGGAGTTCTGGGGCACCTTTGTGTAGGACAGGGCCACGGCGCAGAGTTCAAGGGGAGGCGCTGACAGCTCCCCTAGCACATGTGTACGCACACACACACACGCGCACACACACACGCACACACACACACGCGCACACACACACACACACACGCACACACACACACTCATGTAACGCGGTTTCTGTTTATTTCAGCTACCCTGCTGGAGCAGCACTACTTTCATGAGAAGCAGCAGTTGGCAGAGGGTACGTCCTGCTCATTTCTCCTCTCCTTCATATGAAGATAAGCAGCAATGACCTTGCCTGACCTGTAGGAGGCGGTCTCCAGCTCACTAGTGGCCTGAAACTTTCCCAGTTTCCCAGAATGCACGGCTCCCTCGAGGTCGATGAGGGAGGGTGCGGAATGGGCGCAGGAAAGCTCCGGAGTCGGGCACTGAATCATCCTGCCCTGATACCAGTATGGCCGTCATCCAGATACGCCTCCGAGTCAGCCTCTCCCAGTCTGCCCCCAGCAGACTGAAGCACCCTTATCAGAAGAGGCACACCGCCTCATCTCCCTCCCCTCATATGAATTAACTTATTTACCTGTTTTCACGCTTGAGAAAAAAAATCTTAATGGCTTTAAAAAAAAAAAAAAAAAGGCTGGATTTGATTACAGCATCTTCAAAGTCTGTTCTCCCTTTTCCTTATTAATGCTAATGTATATTCAGAAGCAGAATTCACCGGAGGCTGCCGTTAACTTATTTGTTGATATTTATTCACATCAGAGGCTGTGTGAGGCCTGATGGGAAATGCGGGATTTTCGCCGATACGGGGCAAACCGCTTGGCATGGCAGCCGACAGGGCCCGCCTCATGCCCCCTGGGTTGAGGGTCAGAGTCCCGCCCCTCTCTGTGTGAGAGGAGTTCACCCCAGTTTGGGTGGGGTCCCCCTGGGTGATTCTCTCTCACAGTCCAAAGACATGCAGCCAGGCTGATTGGTGTCTCTAAATTTCCCAGAGTATGATTTTATATTCATATACAGCACTGTGCAAAAGTCTTAGGCAGTCAACGGAAATGTTTTAAAGCTATTTATCCGGGTAGTAAGTGCACTTTTGCTCGGAACAAAAAGCACAATTTAGCAATAGAGCGTATGCAAATTAAGAGTAACAATAAAAACTAGTAAAAAAAAAATTCTGTTCTCCAAAATGTTACTGATATCTATTTTGATGGCTAGATGAACACCGCTTCAGTTCCCAAACCGTTCCTCAGGGGCACCTCAACAGTTCCATGTATTTGTTAAATTTCACTAAATTAATTAAATCGGTTCAAAAAGTCAATGAGATATTGATTAGCTATACGAGGTGAGCTAGTGGTCGAATAAAACAATATGGGTGTATTGGATGGTTGCTGCAAACACTGGGGTGATTTTAGCAGAAGCTCTGACACACTTTGGGAGGCATAATAGCATAGTTTTGCACCAACGTGAAGATCATTTAAACATCATTTCCTTTAACCTAAGATTTTTACACCGTGCTGTATGTGTCCTGTAATGGACAGGCATCCGAGCATGAACACGTGTGTTACACCCGGATGTTTGAGTGCCAGTCATATCTTTATTCATATTTATAAGTGCACAGTAGTGGGGATAATGTGTGTCTTAGCAGGTTAGGCTTCTGTGCCTTTGATCAGAAGGTCGTTGGTTCGAATCCCCTCATTGGCTGTGTAGTCGCATGTCAGCTGGGCCCTTAGCAAGGCGCTTAAACCCCTGAAATGCTCCAGGCGCGTTGGGTAAATGACTGAGCTCGGAATTAAAGCCTCCATCTCACTTGTATGTGTGTCGCAAAGGAGAGCAACATGGATTCTATGAAAAGAAGGGTTCCGATGTACATCTACTCCTACAAGATGGCTCTGTCCCCTTTTACCTAAGTGACTGTCATCACTGACTGCTGTAGAGTGCTGAATTGGACGTGGTCTGAGGACACTTCTATCTGAGATGTTCCTCCAGACTCTCTACTCCTTGTCACATGCTTCAGGGCAGCAGTTGGACCTGGGGGTGGCGGTGCTGGGTTTGGAGATTTGAAGCTGGGGGGGGGCAGACCTTGTCCTCATGGCTGTCCTGTGTCCCTCACCAGGTCGCGGGTACTCCTGGACCCCTAAGAACCAGCGTCCTGAGAAGCTGCGGGACTCCCTCAAGGAGCTGGAGGTATTTGCTGTAAATAAGCCCTCGCGTCAGTGCCTCTCTTCCGGGCCCCCGTCTCTGTCAGCAGCCCTAATATGCGAGGGGATCAGTGAGCGGGGGCCGCAGGTAAGAGCGGCCCTGCTCCAAAGGCCGCCACAGATGCAGCTTTGTGTTTGCATCCCTCCCTAATCCCTCCTGCCCCCCCCGCTCTGAAACCAGAAACAGACCCCCCCCCCCGCCCCACCACCACAGCAGCCTGGGCCATCCCTGGGAATGGCTGACCTGACCCTCTCATCCCATTTCTTCTCGATCTACCCCCCCACTTCCTGATAGGAGTTGCTGCAGTCCAGCCCATGTGTCGACTGGCAATGGCGGAACACGCGGACCTGTCAGGTACACGGGACGCACGCCGAGGTCTTTATGCATAAGTGTGTGTGCACGCGTGTGCGAGCCTCTCTGTGATAGATCAGAATAGAGGAAGACCCTCCTCCACGTCGGCCCCCTCACGCCCCTGGGTAACGAGCAGCCTGTCGCATGACGTGCCTTTTGTTGGTATCGACCCCCATATATTCCAACACTAGTGCCCGTCGGCATTAAATAGACCAGGTGTCAGTTATGCCATTTTAATACCCAACTACTACCCCAGAGCAAATAATGTATAGAATATACTATTTTTACGCTTTATCTGAAGAATGGCTGCGTGATTATCAGGTTATACAACTGCGAGTTTTATTTGAAATTGGATCTTTTAATTCCTTTGCCCTCTGGAGTCCTGGGTTTTCTCCCACAGTCCAAAGACACACAGTTACATGAACTGGAATCTATAAATTGCCCATTGTGTGTGTGTGTGTTTGTGAATGTCTATATATATATATATATATATATATATAATACAAAAATACAGATTACACACACACACACACACACACACACACACACACACAGAGGTATACTTATAAATTCTGGGCCCCCTGACAAAATGTTACCATGGGCCCCTCTGATTCAGTTTCAAGTATAATTTTACATATTCAAGGGCCCCCGGGCAGGTACTGGGCCCCCTGAATCTGCCAGAGTATCCACGCCCCTCTGACGATCCTCATCCCATCAGGCTGTTCCCCTCTATGTTCCCTGTCCCGCCTGAGATAGCCCCCCTCCCCCCATGACCCTACACTAGATAAGTAGTTGAAAGATCAGTGGATGGAATTTATTTGCTTAAGATATTAAAGGATTTGATTATAAAAATAGTTTCAATGATACAAGGCAGCACTGAAAGGGAATAAAGCCAAGTGAGAAACTGAGATGAAATGCTCTTCATCGTTACCAGCAGCCCTGGCCGGTGTGACGCAGAATCAGCATGTAAAACACAAACGCGTGGTTGTATCAGAATTCTTTGCCAAAAGATGGTAAAGAGGCACAGCTATTCCCTCTGGCCTCTTACCTGTTTATTTGTTCTAAGTTTGGGTAGGCACTGTAATACAGGTAAACATGGCATATCGTAGGTAAACATGGCATATCGTGTGTAAACACCACTGCTTTGGCAGTGATTCACCTTGACAGAGCATTACGTTACGGAGAGTCAGCAGATGGACCTCCGGCTCATTCAGGTTATAGGGTTGAAGAGAGGACACTGTCCATCGGGGTAGAATGATGGGCAGAGATTACTGAGGGGCCGTGATTGGTCAGGTTTGACTGTGAAGGGCTGTGATTGGCCAGGCTTTGTTGGACCTCATTGGTCAGGTTTGACAGAGAAGGACTGTGATTGGTCAGGCTTTGCTGGATCTCATTGGTCAGATTTGACAGAAAGACTGCGATTGGTCAGGCTTTGCTGGATCTCAATGGTCAGGTTTGACAGTGAAGGGCCATGATTGTTTGTGGTATCTAGATACAACTGTCTTCAAACAACACTTGCAAGACTGTATTCAAAATCAAGCTACACATTTTTTATTGGTGCTTCCTGGAAAAATCATTAAATGGTTTTCAGAATGAAGACTTTCAGGAAAACAGGCTGGCTTCCAGGTGGAAAGAGATTCTCAGTGGTATTGTTGTGTTGGACAACATTGTAGACCTATCCTGAGTTTTGACTTTTAGATATTTTGGTAAGAAGTTCAACATCACTATTAAACCTTGTGATATTTATGTCTGTCTGTCACATTTTGTGGATGATAGTGACCTGCTTGCAGTTTCTTTGTCTGCCTATACCAATGTTAACATTACCATCTACTTCTTTGGTGCCTATACCAATGTTAACATTACCATCTACTTCTTTGGCGCCTATACCAATGTTAACATTACCATCTACTTCTTTGGTGCCTATACCAATGTTAACATTACCATCTACTTCTTTGGTGCC